AAAGTTATCTTTCGTTGTAATTTACTGGGATGCAAAACTTTGAATGTATATATATTATGAATGTAAGTATGTGAATGAGCAAAATTATTTTATATTACGTTTTGCTTTTTTTCTTTTCGTTTCTTCTTTCACTCTTTCATTATTTCCTATTAATATTTTATCATACCTTCTAAGCCACTAAATATTTTACCAAAGTTGTCAGCGTCATCATATATACATGATGTGCATGGCTTCTGTAAGCTCACCACATATGCATGTGCATATACATGTATTTTTGATTAATGTTGAAATATGTAAAACAAGAGCTTTTCTTCATATTTTATGAATATGAAAAAAAAAAAAAAACAAAAAACAAAAAACTGATATTTTCCTTCTGATTTCTCCCTTTTCTGTCTTGCGCTTTCCCCCACCCAACCTTTAGTTAACACATTTCCTTATTCAACTCCTATCCGTCTGTGCATTACTTGTCTTACTATTACTTTTTTTTTAAATTTCGCAGGTATGCACTGTGATAAAAATGTGTGTTTGTGTGCGCTTTTGCGAGTTCTCATTGTTAGTGATTTAAATTGTTTGTTGCCGTGTCGCTTCTCTTTATTTTTGTTATCTATGTTCATGACTTGTCTTTAGATAATAAACATTTTCATTTTATTTTTACTGTTGTTGGCAGCGTTCAGTGGTTGTAGATTGTTGTTTTTGTACTTTTTCTTTTTCTTTTTCTTTTTTTATGCACGTGACAGGAAGCAAGTACTTGAATTTCTTGAGTGCAGACACACACATATGCTTTAGTTGTCTCTGTATGTATGTTTTATTTGATATAATCAGAAGCGAAGGAAGTGTTTTTGTTTATTAGTTATAAAAGTCAATTCAACCGTGGCAAATGAAGGCGTTGAAAGGGAGGAGCAGAGATCGAAAAAGTAGCGAAGATGAGAAAGATGATAAAGATGGTTGTACAAGCCGAGTTAGAGATTAAGCGAAATTTTGGAATAGTAGAAGTGACGGTTGAGATGGCCATAAATGTAAGGATTGGGTTTGGGTATTAGAGACACGCTTTGGAATAGGGCCGGAAATTAGAATAGATTTAGATGGTAATGATAAAGGCGGGTAGGATGCAGGTAGAGATAGAAGTAAAAGTAAATGTGTCTATAAGGATACAGAGACAGAGACAGAGTTGGTGCGAGGGAGACAGATATAAGAATAGAGATAGAGATAGAAATTGATATAGGGCAAGATACAGATATGGATAAAGTAAGAGATAAAGATAGAGACAGAGTTGAAGCCAGAAATAAAAATATAAAGATAGGGTAAGATAAAGAGATAAAAATACTCCTTGAATGCAATGAGAAAGGTGGCTATAGAGCTAATGGTAAAAAGAATGGTAGAGAGAGAAACAGATTTAGATAGGGATGTGAAAATACAAATGCAAGTACAGGTTAAAATATTAAGAGATAAAAATGGCAATAAAACTTTATTTGCATCTGAAAATAGAGGCTAAATCTGAAATAAAAGCAGCGTGAGACGTAGGCAGCAATTATGATACTTCGTCACATGCGTCGACGACTTTTGGTGTAAACTAAAAAAGCAGATTGTCGCGCAATTGCATTTATATACAACATATAATAATAGAATTGCAGAGCAATGCGCGATATACGTAGATTGCAAAATACTTCGAGTCACAACACGCAAGAACTTTAGCTAAAATTATATAAAATAAGAACGGAACGAAGCTGACTAGGCGTAAATTTAGCTGCAGTGCCACTTATGTTCAAACAATGTTCGTCGTACAGATTTGGGCAAAGAAAACATTGCAAAAAAGCGTCTTGTGCGCAAGTGAAGAACAGTTCAAAAGTCTTGCACCTGTTCACTACACAGTCTCAGCGTGAATTGCATTAACAGTGGCAA